ACAAAACTTTGTTAGACATCTATACTTCATTGCGGAGACACAGTTCGTTATACAGTGATAGAAATAATGTTTGTAGTCATCTTTATCATGCCGTTTCAAAGGAACACAAAATTATACGCCACTACTTCTTGGTACTGTTGCTAATGATTGAATGATTGTGATTACATCCCGTGACTTCATCAAGGTGGTTGGGCTCAACGTGCCACCTTACTAGTACAGTGCATTACCGTAATCGTTCGAATAAGCGCCCAGGCGTTTATTTAATTTTTCTGCTTTTAAGGGGGTGCTTATTCGAGATGGGCGCTTATTTGAGAAGGGTGCTTATTCGAACGATCACGGTGTATTAATTGTAAGAGGAGGCCAATGACCTCATTGAAAGGGGCACGGGGCGAAATGAAAGCCAATAGGAATAAGGGGGCGGATCCATTGTAAATTTGAAGGGGGGAGTTGTTAGCGTGGGGGCACTGAATAATTTTCAGAAATTGGTAGCTGCCCTCAGTTGCTTTCCTTTAACCCACCACTACCAGAAAGATCCTCTTGTGAAGAAATTAGCCCGGGTAGAATTCCAATTTTGAATGAATCAACGATTAAATAATGTATGTTACCTTTCATTATTATACAAGAAAGTAACACAAATAAATTTCATGAAAAAATCTCCATGTTGTAGCTGATTTTAGATATCAGTATACCATTGCATTAATGCAGTGTCAGTGGTAAACTTTGAAAGGAGACCTAACTGATTATTGAGTGATAAAAAAACCACATTAAACTATAGAGCTTTAAAACCAACTGGATGAAATTGTATCAGCTAAGAAGAGAATGTGGTGCAAAGGCCCTTGGCCGTCTATATATGTTACATAACTGTACCCAGAAGATAGTTTGCAACTGTGAAAATGTTAAAATACTATAGCATCTAGCCTGTTTTAGCCTCTTGTATTCAGTTAAATTTAATCAATTTCTTTATTAGTTATATACTGCATTATTATTTGCTTTGCTAGCCAAGCAGTCACAGTAGCACGTCAGCATGAGGCCCTATAATTCAACACTGTACTCGTTTAGTATTTGTTTTTTCATTGTTTTTGGTAATCTGTAGGATTAGTTGAAATATTGGAGGTAAAAAACTTTTTCAATAATCTTCTATCTAAAACAATTTTCCAGAAAAACATCGAGTTCTTATAATATTTTAAAATATCAAATAGTTGATTCATCTTCCAATTAATAAAAGTGTCACTTTGTAAAATTCACGCTAGGTTTCTTGTTCCCAAAGACGGAGATGCCGGAGTCGACCAAACAGCATACAAGATCAAAGAAGTACATTATGCCAAAGTTATACATAATAGTGACATAGCCTTCTCTTAGTGCTTGTGTACTAGATTAGGTAAAACTAAAAAGCAAGGCAGTCAATTATTGTTACTTGCGAAATAAAGCGTTCTAAAGATGAAAAGATAGCACAAGTAAGTCTGTAAACCAACAGAAATTTGACATTGACAATTTTATATCTATTACAAAGACATACTGATCTGAGAACTTCATCAAATTGGTTAAAACGATTTAAATACATACCGCAATCTTAACAAAAATATATCGAATTCTCTAACAATAAAAGAACGCTAAAAAGATTCTAACAGAAAATATAACGAAAAACAAAGAAATTCATAGCAATCTTACAAAATATTTGAAATGAACACCTTAATCTTTCCAAAACTCTGAAAGTAAATAATAAACCAGGGTACGCGAGCCTTAACATGGTCAAGCGGGTCATTCTTTGCAAATTTTAGTGCGCATTACGTTCAGCCAGTGTAAAACTGAAATTTGATTGATAAAAGAAAACGGGATCATAAATTGATTTGTATACTTCAGCTTGTAGGGAGGGAGCAACGACACGCACTCAAAGGAAAATGGTAGTCATGAAATACTTGCGAGATGTATTGGAGAGCCATTCGACAAGTGGTCAGTCGGCACCTCAGTTACCATTTCGTTCAAATTTAAGGCGATATATACTAAAAGTTTCAAAGACTGTAGTGACGATAGAAAATCTACCACATATCTTTAAATTAGCGTTCGTTTAATTTAATTAAAACCTGGTTTTGATACAGAAATTATTTTAAAACCTAGTGCCTTGGAAGATATCTCCGTATTCCAAACAACTTTTCTTGCTCAACATGTCAATTTTGATCCATCTGAACTATGCGTATGTGTAAATGTATGAAAATCCGCATCTACTCTACAATTATCGTTTCTCTATTGTATGCTTAATTCTTCTGGATAATATATACGTCTTTTCTGTGGCTACATTGTGTTTTGTTCTGATTCTAATGTTTCTTGACAGATAGCTTCCCGTTTATCAACTCTGCTGTCACTGGCCTTCCATTGAAGCTTACACTGAAACTATAAAAACAAAGGCTCACGATCGTGGTTTACTCAGAGGAAAACAAATAAGGTGCTTGAAAATTTGACAAAAGAGATTTATTATCTCGATTAATTGTGAAATCCTATATAAACAATGACAAAAATGCACTATTGAAACTGGTGTAGTATATATAGTTCAAATCATTTTGTTCCATTAAGACACAAAAGGCAGATATCATTTCATCATATCAATCAGTTACATAAACGGGTGTGCATATGCTACTACCTTTCTGCAATGTCAACCTTCAGTTCTCTTTTAAATTGCTTTTTGTAGGCAAGTGCTGTTTTGGCGACTAACTCAATCACATGATCGCATCGAAGCATAAAGTCCCCCTTCTTCAACGATTTCACATCTTGGCCCTAGAATATCAAAATATTCTCTGAATCAGAGATAAAAAAATCACAAAAGAAGAGAATAAAAAAGAGGGAGGGGGGGGAATGTTTTCACTCATTTAAAAAGGTGAGCATTGCTCCTATTATTTGAAAAAATAACGAAAGCGTTACTCTCAAAATGCAAGAAGTTTGAAATGACGAATATGACAAGAAACAACAAGAAATGTAAATTTAGAAATAGGTCACATCGCGATTACTTAAGGAAATGAAACTTTAAAAAGTATGTCGCGAATACTAACATAACGTGATAAATAAAACGAACCTGTTTGACGTGAATTATTACAAAGCCATCAGCAAGTGGAGTAGTCGTTACTTTCACAATATCTGTCAAGCCAACAGTGTAGACTGGCTGCAATGATTTCGGTTCCAAGATCAATAGCTCACAGCAGCTCAGTAGTAATGTCTTTGGCACCTCCTGAAATGGTTTTTTAGAAACTCGTGATATTTAGTTTTACCTTTTCAACTTATATGCATAAGATCCAAAGCGCAAGTAGCATGAAAACATAATAAAAACTTCGATACAATGAAAGCCAAAGTCTTTTCTAAAGAAATATGGAGCAGCGGACGATCGTTAGGACAAGGTCACATAGTTGATAAAATCAGTCATTAAAATTGATGGGAATGCGATGAAGTCAACAGCTCCATTCACAGATGTTGACCATTTAATAAAGAGAAATGAGTCAAAGACGTTACAAAATATCAAAAGATGCAAATGGTCCAGTCCAAGACGAAATTAGAGGACGTTGCGATAAAGTTCCTAATTTTTAGGCTACAATGAACAGTAGAGTGAGTAAAAAATGGAAAAACAACCAACCTTTCCATTTTTCCGGTGTGTTTTTAATATATTGTCGGTGAAAACAACCTTCAAGTCATTACTCAGCTTCGTTTTCTGCTTGGCCCAAGCAGCACTATCACTGATCTTTAGATGATCTCCTTCAAACGGAATGGGTACACTGCAAAATAAACACTCTTTCATCAAAGATTATCATTGATAGATGAGACTCGCTGAAGAGCTGTCTGCTACTACGAACAGTGAATTAACAAATGTATTATTTACAACTACATGATATATTAAATGATGAAAACAAATTCTCTCTACCACTATTCGAAAACAATTCTTCATTATCAAACGCCAGAGATGACGCTCTTGCTGAAATAAGTTGAGAAAGGAAGATGTAACCCTGGCTAAATCTCTTTTGGTCATGAGTAGCCTGAGGTAGCACAGCAGTAAATGAGAATTGGAGCAAAAAGTAGCATGAAAAAAAAGAGCCTTGAGAGTTATGATGAAATTAATTCAATCATTATAACTATCTAAACAATTCAAACAACTTATCAAGCAGTCTTAAATGTCCATTGTAGGCCCTGATGTAGGTCTTGCCCAGATCAAAGGCAAAGTTTGGCAACTATAATACTGATTAGCTTTAATCATAACGAATCTCACTAGTGTAACGTCACCTAGGAGTTACTTTAACAAAGAAATAAACGGTTGACAAGTCTGAGTTTGAGAATAAGGTGAGTAGCGACGTTAAACAAGCGCGACATGAACTTTTTCAGGATTGTGTGTTCAATGTTGACATAGTTTGAGTCAACTTCGATATTGCCGGTTTCTGCATATAAAACGCGGCTTACCTTTCAGCATAGGTCTCTTTCTTTCCGCCAAATATGTCTCTTGCTTGTGACTTTTCACTCAAGATTCTTTTCCTCTCAGGGTCAATTTTCTCTCGGTATTGATGGCACTAGACAAAGAAATAATGCTACTCAAGAACATCAACATAACACCAAGGGATAAGAAGAATTAAGGTAGATGAGAAATCGAGAAGAGTTTTCTAAAGCTATGTCACCAGTAAGTTTTGTCCTATGTCCTGATTGATCTATAGGCCTAATGCGCATGCATCAATCCCTGACACAAAATATTTACAAGCTGAAAACAAGTTGTGCAATTGTCCATTACTTTTTAATTGTTCAACTGGTATTAATTTGCATAATTGCATATTTAATTCAGTTAATAAGATCAAAAGCAGAGCCTTACCCTCCATGCATGGTGAACTTTGTACAGTAGATCAGAAGCATCAGTGAACATTTTCAAGCAGTTAGGCCAGCTAGTATCCAAAGGTGAGGCTGATGGTTGGTTGTTGTAGATATTTATCAAGAATTTCACTGCCTATGAAGTTAAAACAATGCTAATGTCAATAAGACACGAGGTAGAAACAAATCAGAATCGCTACTTCAAGAAACGCATTAATCACACAAAAATAGAATCTAGTAGAGCATGTAGCCAGAAATTTTAAAAACTTAAAAATCGATCTTGCAATGAAGGATATGCAAAGGATGAAAGCTGATAAAAAATCATTCTTAGAATAACTTCTTGATCTTCAGCTAAGACTTCAATCATTAATAAAATAAACAGAATGGTCTACTGAGAAAATTGGTGGTAACATTAAAAAAATTGACTACACAGATGTTTGAAGATGTTAGACAAATAAAATTTAGATAAATGGCACGAGCTATCATTTTTAAACCAGGAAATACTTGATTTTGAAAACTGATGACATCACAGCTATTTGATGTACTTACCAGACACTTCCTTATGTATTTTATTATCTTCGGACCTGCATGCTTCTTGAGAAACTTGGCATTGGCCTTTCGTGCCTATTTTCGAAAGATAGATAAAATAATAAAACAGAGATAAATAATGGCAATCTTAAGTTTACAACAAGCTAAAACAATGCGAATACCAATATTGGCATAATTAAACTGAAAATAATAATCTTTAATTTGCGCCTGGAAAAACATTTGTCAAGTTATTTTTTGCAAACACTCATTCATTGCCATTACTGTAAGAGCAATCCATTATCAGAATTATTTTCAGGGTTTTCTTAATGTGAATACGCCACAGCAAGCAAAATACAGCATCTTAAATTTCCAAATAAGCATAATTTTATTTGTATAACAGCAAGTACTGTAAAACGGTCCAATTAACATCCAAAAAAGAGTAGTCTGAAATAAAATTTATAAGATTACTTTGTATCCTCTGAGAACAGCTTGAATAAAGATCACTGATGTCTTGAAGTGAATGTACTTCTTTCGCTCCTAATGTAAGACAATAATTGGATCTAACTTAAGAAAAATGGAAAACTTGAGAAACTTCATTCTCTACCAACTAAGAATATTTTTTATCAATAATGAAATGCTACAAATTTTATTACAGTTTGATCAAGGGTGGCAGTTGACTGCTATAAATTCTAACGCCTTTGAATGCTATTAGCGTCACGTTCTGGGGCTGTAGCACAGGTATAAGGCGAAAGAAATTCAAAATTTATGTCTAAAAAGACAGTGCTTGAGCTTAAAATTTGAGCACCGCTAACTATGTAATTGTTATTCTAAAAACTGCGCCACTTTAAAAGGGTTTACTGCGTGACTGTGTGTCAATAACAATGACAGAAATCCTTAACAGCTCTTAACCCTTTAAACAGCTTCCGTTCAAACTGCCTTACTCGGCGCCGCATACGCCTTGTCATGTAAAAGTGCCCTTTAAAGTTGTTACATTACATTATAAAGTTGTTAGACTTAGAGCATAATGAACAATCAGATTTTACACAAACATACTGTGAAATTTCGTGTTTATATATGGCATTTCAAATATATTCCATCGTTTAAAAGTGAAATGAAGATTTATAGAGGAACTCTAAACAAAAATATATTTCGAAAAATAGGAAAGTCTCTTTAATAGTTACAAAAATTTGCTGTATTCTTTCTTGAAAATTGCACTTACACGATGCATCTTGTAAAAGCTTGCGATTTTGATTTCACTTGCTTTCATCTTTTGAAACTAAAGGAAAACCCAATATTACTTAAATCGACGCCAAAAGAGAAAAATGTAGATTAAAAGACCAAAAATGAGATAAATATAAAGAAAAGATAAATCAAAGTCAAAAGTATATATAGAATCTTTTATAACGGCTGATTCTATGCAAATTGTAAATCTAACTTGGCAAACATTGAAGAAACTAATTGCAAATGAAACTTTAACATCAACAGAAGTTATGTTCGGTTAAATTATGTTAGCTTACCTTGTGCCTGGCAACCCAGCCTCTAACCGTCTTCTGTAGCAGAACAACAAGGTCGACGATCCTTCGCTTCCTCTGATCTTCAAGCAAAAACACCTAAGCCAAAATAGAGATAGATGGTGATAAAGTGATCGACAAAATCATGTAATAAAAATGCTTAGCATGTCAGTTCTTTAAAGGAATCCAAAATCCTTCTTGTGACGTCAAACATGCAAAAAAATACTTATCAGCCGTATATCATCATATACTCACCGTGCGAGGGTCCCTGATGAACAATTTAGATTTCCCATACTCGCAGTCTGGCGATCTGATGTTGAACGCCTAGGGTTCAGATTTAGAAAAATAAAAGTAAAAGTTATATTCCAGCTAAATATTGTTTCACCAGATATTAAATGATAAAATGCGATAGAGAAAGGTGAGGTAAGAAATCTTAACATGTTTAAACTGCTACAAAGCAGATAAGGAGACTTGCCCATATATATAAAAAATGCTGAAGCAAAGATATCAAGATCGGCATTGAATTTCTAACTGGTAGGTAGAAAATGCTAGCTCAGCTCTGAACTTGAAAGACGCATTTAGCAAGATAGTGACATTCTTCTTTGACGTTTCAAGGCACAACTAATGACTTAAAAAACAATAGCAAAAGAATATTACGTCAAGTATGTTCTTGACACCGTCTTTAGCCGGACCGTTTTTCCAATTAGGCCATGTTGCGTCTGACAACATTTTATACCTAAAAAGAAAAACCATTTATGAATAATTATTTTGTCAATTATAGACCTTACTGTCTAGGCTTGTTGACTTTATCAGACGAGAAAAACAATCGTTTCTCGGCACTAACCTTTCAAGAAACAGCTCGTATCTTTGCCTGAAGCAATATCCTGCTCTTCTCACCCTGATGTTTTCTAGAAGACTAAAACCACAAAAAATAATAGTAGATATGATTTAAAAGTTGCTTGAATGAAAATTATATCAATTGTCTCAGTTTTGGTAACAATGCCAAAGTTACTTACAAATTCAAAAAGAACTAAAAAGAACTCCACATACCCAAGATATCTGGATTCATGACGAACAATTTGTTCAGTAAATTGAACAGCTGATTTTGTGTCATTGGGCTGTTTAAAATGAGTTGAATACATCAAGATAAGAGACAAAGTACATGGTTTGAATAAAAAATAAATGAATCAAAAAATTGATAGTAATCATAATGGTGAGATTTTTAAGTGACGTTCGAGCTATAGTTTTGCTATTGATGTTAGCAAAGAACCTTCGAGTATTTTATTTTGAATACTAAAATTTAAATTAAGAAGAAATACTGCAAAAAAACAACAACTCCTTTAGGCGTAGCTGCTACTAAACTCTGTTGAGCAAAACAAATATTTTTCTTTGACTCAGAAAAAAATAAAGGAATTATTAAAGATAGATAATAAGAGGGCAAGCAGTAATTTGAACCTGGAATATTTACTATCATATTTCAGCTGACAACAGACAGGTTGAGAGGTGTTCCAGGCACTAATGACGTCAATATAGAAAACTACTTTCATAACAAAAGTAAAGAGAGTCGGCAATAAAATGTATATCAATACTTACTTTTATACATCTGATGTAGTGTGGTTGCTTTGAACTCATATTCTTTACCAGCTCTGCAACCGAGACCTGAAATTATGATAAAAATTAGAATTAGAGCCACAAATATACATTGGTCTACACTCATACTATATACTATAGCCACAAATATACTATAGTAAAAAAATATCTTTAGAATTGGAAGTTGTACCTTCATAGATTCCTTTCCTCTTTAGTCGCCATACCGAGTTTAGAATAAATATTTACATGGCAGTTTATATGAAAATGAAATTGAAGTACCTTCATCTGGGTTCCTACTGTAGGGGGTCTCTTCTTGTTTTTGTAGCTTGGGTTCCCTATAGAATAAATTTATTACAAAATTATATTTTCTTTAAATAACTTCAAGATAAAGAGGCCATTAAGGTTACACGTATCACGGGCTAAATTATTTACAACAAATACTTTTTGAAAAACTAAAGATATATTTCTAATAATATAAAGATAAAAGAATATAGAATTTCATAACTTTTTCATGATATAAGCAGGAAAATGATTTAAAGCAATGACCGAGAAAACGAAAACTTTACTACCGAAAAGAATGAAAAATGAAATGAATAAGGTTCCATCTCCTCTCTTCAGGAACTCTCCGATACTCCTAGATATGAAACTCATCTGCTGAGACAGCAATAGTAATAAAAGAATATTTCAATACCTTCTGGGAACATATCTTTGAGAAGAAGATGACTGCAATTGTACATAGCTACAGACATGTCTCGATAGAGAGGGTCATTGTTTTTATCGATGAAGTTATTGACGTCATAAGTGACCTAAAGGAAAAAAGAGAAAAATCAAGTACGGTGTCGATTTTAACTTATTTAAAAGCAAACGATTTTGTCGAAATGAGCTATTCTGGAACTTTTCATGCTTTAATCATTTAAGTGCACAATTGTGGTCGATAACAGCTGGACTATTTGCATAGAACCTGATTCGTATTTACAGTCTGTTACGTCAATGCCTATGAGATGCAAGCACATGATGATAGAGGAGAATTACAATGAAACATAAACACACAGACAAGTCTTGTTTAATCTTCAAGGTACTCTATTGAGAGGGAAGAAGAGTGTTTTTATATCACTGTCTGGTAAACTTAATCGTTAAGAAAAATATGCTATTTCAATGTCAGCTTAATGCTTCTTCTTAATCACATTAAACGATGATAACGAAAACGGAGTCTTGAAAATAATTAAACTTGGAATACAGATTGCCATATCATAGCACAACAGAAAGGGTAACAACTGTGGCAGCAACAAAAGAAGCCAGAGCAGATTAAAATTTAATTGGTGCTTGAGACTTGACTGTCGTTTCCATGGGATCTTTAAAACTTCGCTTGAATTCCATTGGTTATAAAACGTGTAGTTTACAAAGAAAAACTCACGCAACCCCATTCCCAATTGAGCAAGCGAGTTAAATTGGCCCAAGGTTGAGATTTTCTGGTGTCAAAGAAAATAAACCAGAAAATAACAAATGATTTTCAACCCTGTACGACTTTCCTCGTGCAGAGAGGCTCTAAATGAGGAATAATATTTTGCATTGGGAAACCCTAGCATATGATGAACGCAAAACGACTGGAATTCACTTACATCTCCTGCATAGTGTTTTAACTTGAAACAGTCATGGTCTATTGAGGTGTCAGATCGGCTTTTCACTCTGCTGTCAAAATGGGCGTGGTTGATGCATCGATTATTCAGCTTCTCCAAAAATGTTTTGTCAGTAACCTAAAAGAATTAAGCATTCTTGTCTAGTAGAGTTGCTTTTGCAAAACAAGATTAACAGAAATAGACTCCCATCAACATTGGAGTAACTTCTGAATATACCAAAACAGCGATAAGTAGCAACAAATTTATGATTAGCGATTTGCATAGGTTGATCACGCATATATTAAAGTGATTTAACATACAATTCAGTTTGGATACATATAGTATATATTTGAGATGCAAAAATTGAAAATATTCTGGCTGGCTCGTTTTATGAGAATGAAGCAACAACAATGGCAGTTGGTTCTAGCAAATGTTTAAAACAAAAGCTCACTAAAGATCAACAGTTTTGCAAATCTTCAGGCTATTCTACTTCTTTTGGCATCATTTGAATCAATTTCGTGCACTTTGAATATATTTTTAAGTTTTACCGAATGGCGATTGAGCTGAAAAAGCCCCTTGTGAAAAGACCCGCTAAATGTGTATCTTCAAACGAGAGAGTATCGGCAGCTTGTTTAAGGTTTTACTTACATCTCCAGGTCTTAGACATTCCTCATCGAGTAGCGCAAGAATTCCAGTGTTTTGCTAAAAAAGAGTATCATTGAATTTATCGTAATTGATGTATTGTGTTAAAATACCTTCAAGGCAACTATGGACTTTAAAGGTAACGATGTAAGATTTATCAAAGACATATATTAATTAACAGTGTCTTATACCATTGTAACTAAATGCTGGGATTGGATTTCTCGTATTTCATGATGTGGGGTTGATTTTAAGATGTTATAATGTCCAGTTTTGTACAATAGGTGACTTGAAAAGTTAATCAAAATCAAGAGAAATGGTACTTATAAAATCTTACGTAAAAGAAGGTCTAAGATGAATTCAGTTTTATACATTTAAAGGTTAACACGAATGTGACAAAATGAATCAACTTTTTCTAAATATTCTTACCTTTTCAATGAGGTCACAAATGATGGCATTATTGAAGTAGTCGATATGAATCCACTCGACTCCCTAAAAGATCAAACAGGGCTTCATACACAACAAGGTCTCGTGATTCTCATCAGTTTGTCCTAGACCTCACAAGCACCGCACCTGTGCCTGTGCCAATTATTATCCACTGATTATTTGAAGGAAATAGCGGTACTTAATGGTGTTGAAATTACCCGAAATCCTCCACGAAAAAGCTTTCATGAGTTATTGAAAGGTGAAAGATTTTAATGCCTCTACACTTCTTAGCAAATTCAGTGACAAACTATGCCACTAAATAAACAAAGATAAGGTTCTACATACTTCTCTCACGTATTCCTCTTGCTCTGATTTCAGTGTAAGTTCGATGAAAAGTTGCTGCAGCTTCTCGTTACAGTAATTGATGATAAACTGTTCGAATGCATTTGACTGAAAATTTAAGCGTTGAATGCATGAATATGAATTAAAAAAATGTCTATGCCTATGTTAAATGATTACTATAAACAGTTTTATTATCACCATAAGAGTGGTAGCATAAATACGTATACATTTGAACCTGTTTTGTTTATCTATTAATGTACAAACTGATATTGTTGGAAGACTTAAAGGAATTGTTTGAATTCAATTAAACTTTCCCATTCTACTTTACAAGACGCCCAAATTTCAAAATACAGTTAAAAGTAGCGAAGATCAAGCAAAAAATAAAAACACAATAGACTGGAACCTTGAAGACTTCAAATCCATAGATATCCAAAACACCAATCACTTTCTTGTCAAATGCTCTTTTGGGTGCCTGAAACATGATGGAGACAGCTTCTGTTGAGTATCTTTTTCAGAGACATGACATATCAGCCAAAATCATTACATAACAAGACCACGAAACCAATTTACTGATTTACACAACCACACAGAACAAGTCAACAGAACCACCACTGTATTCTAACGATTACATGGTGCATGCATTAGATTTTGAAACATTCTTCTCAATAGTAACATAACATTTCTTACGAGATATTCTAAACAGAAACGGTACAACTTTTACCTGCACACTGTTGTTTATCTTTGCAACAATCCAGTCGAAAAGGCGATTGTAAATTGCTTTGCATAAAGCATCACGTCCATAGTTGGCCTGTACATTAGTAATGAAAACAAAAAAACTTCAGCTTTTTTATACATAACAATTGTAGAATTTAAAGGGTACATTATAAAATCAATGCTTGCTAACAAATGCAACTTAAAAAGCAAAAGCCATCGTTAAATTGTTGAGGATTATAAACCTTGTGTATCAAGCTTTTTAAAATAAACGCAAAGAAAAGTAAACGAAAGGAAAAACTTACATTTGCAGGACTAAGTCTTGTTACAACTTTTTCTTTGCCTGACTCCACAGAACGAGTGCACAAAGTATCCATGAGAAGTTTTGGTGCACAACCAAATAAATTGGCAGCTTGTTCAGCATCTTATAAGGAAAATCAACATGTTTAAATGATCCCAGGAAAAACTGGTAAAATAAAAAGATAGGATCATCGACGTAAATCTTCAATTCAAGCAACATTTTTTAAGCATTAGATGAGCAAGCTTGCTTACTCTTTAAAACAGTGTCAGGTTAAAAATTGGTATGAATGATGGGTAGGGGGAATGTAGAATTGTTCACTCTGGGATTTCTCAGAAGTATTTTATAAAAGAACTGGCAAGGATGGAAAAATGAATTTGATTGTAGTTTAACGATAAGGAGGTTCCAATCTTCAACTGACATTGCACGAAGTTTTTTAAGTGTCACTTGGAATGGATGGTATATCGAGAAGTTTATGAAAATTAATTTTCATTATCATCTCTAATATTCCATAAATATCAGGCTTTTTTCTGAATGAAAACTAGGTGTTCCTTACCATTCTCGTTGAGAACATCGACAGTATCAACCCCGTCAACAAAAACATCTCTGAACAAGACATTGCCAAGATGGAGAATTCCACCGAGAAGCGTGTATAATCCTGCTATTTCGTCAGTCGAGAACCCAATCAATTTCATTGCGCTCTTAAAAAATAACCAGACACTTTTGCTAGCATCAATATAGAAAACGCAAATTTTCAAACAATTAAATGCCTAAAACAAAGATTTTCAAAATTTGAAAGACATTTATAGCAAAAAAAATTGCAAAGAATTCAAACACAGAATGAAGTCATGTTCTCGTTACCTAAAACCATACGATGATGGGTGAAGATAATCATTCGCATGAAAATAAAAAACAAAATTTTCAGCAAAGCAAATGTTTTTAAGAAACTTGCTATTTTTGTATGTATATTATTTTGCCATAAAAAGTAAATCAAAACCAATAAAAAGAAAAATGCATACTTCCACTATTTTGAAATTTTCCGCATCGTTAATTGACGGAACACTTGTGCAATTACTTTGGTTTAGATACGAATAATCATCAAACTTTCGCTTCAGGCCTAGTGTTTCTGCAAATATAAAAAGTCGTGATTTAAGCATCAATGAAAAAAATTTCTATATAAGTGGCCTGAAGACCATAGATCAATTTGCCAATTTAGAGAGACGTTTTGCAAATGCTAAGAAAAGGGCTGAAACAAGTTAGTGAACGGATAATTGTAAATGTACTTCTGGGGTCTGATTATGAAACAATATTGACCCTACAATAACCGAGCTTTAATCTTATGGTTTCGTACTCAACTTTTTTGTTGATAGAATTGCTCACGATACATTAAACTAAAATTTTCTGTCTAAACTGGGACCGGAAAAAATACTTAGCTGGAAATATAATTAAAAGTGTCGAAGAATCTGCTAGAGTTTTTCATATGCACTTACCCATTACGATATCAGGTGCACCAAGTAGCAATTCGTAGAATATGTGGAAATTTCTTTCTCCTTGCGTCTGATGAACAACACGTGACTAAACAAAAAAGATTAATTTTTTAAGTGGAATATCACAAGAAAGAGTTTGAAACTGTGAAGAAAGGGAGGAATAAAAGATAGACATTGGCAAGAAGGACTCTGTGAAAACTCAACTAAGAAACACGATCACTATAGAAATACGGCTTTTAAACGTTTTTTAGAATAATATCCTTATACTCTACGAGATTATTTTCTAACAAAATGAAAACAAAACTATTTTAAAGAAATTATTATCCTCTAATAATATAATAATATAAGAAAATATTTACCTTTTCAAGAAGGTCTGAAATGCAAAAGAAATATGTATTTAGTGGGCGCATGTTCATTCACTGGTACACTGCAGTCAGATCAGGCAAGAGAAGAGGATGGCATAATAGTTCCGGCAATGTGCTGTGCAAATGAGCAAATGAGCATACAACAATTATACCTAGAGCACAAATGCTTTGTATTTGTATATAGTGGACTAGGGAACACTGTTATAATTTAGATGCAAAGTGGGACAGGAGCTAGACACAAATGCTTGATATTATGAAATTTCCAGCGTATGCTTGAATTTCTTTTACAGTACTTCATGTATTGTTTAGTGCTGTATTGCACTTTATTGTATTGCGTACTTAATTGCTCCTTTGGTATTGTATAAACAAAACAGAACAAAGATAACAGTTTTCTTAGCAGTTTCACTCTCTAGTATCTTATTGCATCATAACTATAGTAATATGATTTCTTTGAAATTAAGAAACAACTTACAGTTTGATATAAATCCACCAATGGGGTCTCCTTTGTAATCAAACTCCAAGTCCATATATTTCCCCTTGAAAAACAATACTTTGTCAAACAAACAATCGCAAATGATACATCTACTTGCGCGTTGTAAAAAAATCAACGCTTGAAAAATTTCTTCTAAAGATCATTAAAAAATGCCTGCCAAAAGTCTTGGAACACTGACGTCAGTTTTCAAGGTCAATTTAGTATCCCCCTCCCCCAGGGAACAATGTTGGTTTACAATAGAACGGCGTAAAAGATTTGAAAGTTTCTGCTTTTGCGTTTTTTGCAGGATATTTGCAGGACCGCATTTACGTCTATTGGGGCCCTGGGCCCAAAAGTGATTGGGACCCCTTAAAATATTCTAAAAAATTTGTGTCACGTGCACAGTACTTGGCTGAACATAATCAAACATAATCAACCAACTCTAAGACATGAATAAACTTGTATCCATTTCGCACTTCAATATATTCCCAATAAAACTACCCAACTGCTGAAAACGTAGTCATTGCCTTGCATTGGTTAAGTTCAGTCATTGCATTGGGAGAAGCTCCAGCCAGGACAAGCAAGATTTTCAAAAGCCCTAGGGTAAAAACAAAATATGAGGCCCCCTGCGAGCGGAGCGAGCTGAAAATTCTTGTGACCTCTGAAAATTCTTGGGAATTCATTACTTTAAGAGGCTCCATTCAAACACAAAATTGAAATCAAGAGCACTTTAAAGGCTTTAAAAATTTTGCACGGGGCCCCCAAAATCGAATAATTGTTCTAGGGGGGAAGGGACTGGAAGTAGTGCTTTTTGCTGGGTGTGCCAAGTATTTCGGGCAGGCATTGTAGATCATTTACAGAGCTGTAACAGACACGCCCCCTCCTCTTTTCGTTTCAAATACTCATATCATTCAGAAAACCTTTACCGTGAATAATAAAAAAGCATTCAGAAAGAATTATCTCAGGGTTTTCTTGAGACCTTTTTAACCAAATCCAATTATTCACAAAATGGCTCTGACTCGTAGTGGTAGCTACAATAATCAGTTAACACCATAAATATAAAAAATATTTTAAAAAGTTGGTGACACCAAACTTACAAAACGAGATGAGTTGTCATTTCTGATGGTTTTTGCATTTCCAAAGGCTACAAATAAATGTAATGCAATAATTATATATTTTTACATTGACTATATGAAACATATGGTCTTTAACTTGCATATTTTTAAAAAATCCTGGCCATTAGAGGCTGATCAAAAAACAGACTTTGTACACCTTTTTAAAAAAATAAATGAGTACGAAATATAATTTTTCACATTTCAACTGCTGTAAATATCGTTCTTGAAAATGTTATCAATTTTATTTCTTTGCTAAAACACTGTTCATTTTCAGATGTCTTTTGAAATAAATCGTGGTATATCATAATTTGAAAAACGGGTACTGAACGAAATAATGACAGAAAGTATCTAGAAAGAAAAGATACCAAATAATTCAAAACGTTGTGTAGTATTCTTACCCTCGAGAACTGGGTTCGACTGCAGTAGTTGTTCTTTCAATCGGTTGACGTCTTCTCCTTTGCCAGACACTGCTGCGACGTACCTCATCACGATCTTGGATGCCTCTACCGTGCAAGGAAAAATACATAACCCATAATCAGTTTAAACCTTACCATTAGAAAAATAGAAGATGATATCTAAAACGCTTCAAAAACCACGTTTCACTGCACCTGTGTGTTACGCAATAACAATAGGAAATAGTTTTCTTCTAGAAAACCGATCTGAATTATCTTAGGCCAATGCAAGATGTAATTTTTTTCTCCATGGAGTCTTGCAAATTGACAAAAATTTTGTCAACAGTTATTTGGACATCCTGAAATGAAAACGCTTATTTAGAAAATCAACAGCTTCTCGTATGATTTACAGAAATCGTAGCCCTCTCTCAAAAACAAACTACCATTCTTGCCAAAATTGTTGGGCCACCTACTTAAAATCTCTACAGTTTTTAAGAGTTGTTTCCCCTTTTCCGATTATAATGTTGTCTTATATCAATATTACACAATTCTCATTGACAATCTAACCAGGATTTGAAGCATTTACACTAATAATCAACATTATATAGAATTTAGCAACAGCGTTGACGACATGGAGAGGCGGTTAAATCCTGAAATTATCAACTTTTGAACGTGAATATTGTCGTCCTTCAACTATTTTTGACAAAGACTGTGTAGCTCAGAAGCGTTGAAAATAAAAACGATATGTCGCGGAAGGACGTTGATAACAAGGTTTTTGGCAAGAATCTTTCAGAGATAGTAGGAAGGAACTTTCTCGTCAATTCTTTGGAACACAGGGATACTAAAAGTTTAATAAAGAACGGAGAATAAAGACAATGAATAGAACAATTATTCATAATACCAAGACAGCCACCGGTTGCATATTCTAGACAGCTAGTCTAGCTCGATAAAAACTATCTCAAAATCTAAGAAACATCTGTTTCCTTGCATATGCATATGGCAAAACCAAACCTTCGTGTATTATATGGGCAGGGAGTTCTTGAAAATGATTGGTTGCGTTGAAAGCACCTTATATCTAAATTACTTCAACTTAATTTCGAAGTTTTATCGAGTTGATGATAACACACCTGTTTTTCCCGATCCACTTTCACCTGAGATGATAATACACTGGTCAACATGGTAATCTCGCATGGATCGATATGCATCATCTGCCAGTGAAAATCTGCGACAGATTCGACAAACAAATATAAATTTAGGCTTGCAAGACGTAAATAGAGACCATCAAGATATGATAACTGTAAAGAAAGCTATAGATCTGTGTGCAATATTCTTTGATATTTATATAAAATATGTAAGCATTGACTTCTGGTTTTATTGAAAATTTGTTTGTTTTTATGGGTAAGAATACTGAGATATAATGTGAATGGAAGTTTAGAGTCAGAGATGAGGTAATCTGGAGACTAACTCGCATGGAATTCAATACATTATCTGACTATTAAAAATCAACAAATTGAGCATTATCCAGCCAGTCAATTCACTATTATTTCACTTTGACTGCAATGTAAACCTCAAAGCAACCAAAAAAGTAGGAACTTCATAAAAATTAAAGTTTTATCAGATCATCCAATTTTGCTTTAATAAAACATAATTAAAGGTGTTTTATGCCATATTTAATTGAAATTAGAGTGTCAGAAACGTGGCTCAACTTTGAAAGGTAAATTCGCTGATGTAACAGTTAAAAATTTAAATTGACTTGATATGACAGGTGACTCGTAGTTGAAATATTAACCAGAAGACTCAAGAAGACTTTTCTTATTTTTTCCCAACATCTTGCAACAAAGTTTTGACAAGGTGAATTTCCATGGAAGGCACTTTAAAATGTTGTGTTACACAGAGATAGATCAAGCATGATATCGATGGGTTTGATTCAACTATTCCGTAGGAAAAAATATCCAGTTTGGAAATGCACAATAATAGCTTCTTTGCTCAGCAAGAAGAATCACTAAAAATTCTTGTATATACTTGTGACAAAAGAAAACAAAGATTTTCTACTCTCATAACATAGAAAAATAAACAAATAAATATTATGTAAACAATAAATAGGAAGAAGATAACTAAGCAATAGATAACAATGCATGAATCCATATAAAAATTATGCAACATTTTTTTGTTGTGGCTATTTTTGGTTTTTTTCACACCATCATTTAGAACATTAGAACCTTCCCAGTGTCAACTATGAAAGGGGTTGGAGGCATTTATACCAATAAAAAGTGATGTTATCAACTTATCTGAAAATTTTTAGATTGAATGCTACTCCTTTCAATTGAAAAAAAACATTTCCGTTGCCAGCATACAAATATACAAATATTCAGAAAAATGATAGCTATATTGTAAAACTGAGCATCCAATTTGCACACTTCATAAAACAAAACAAAACCATGGCAGTAATACAATACACCTTAAGGTTTGATGCCCAACATTATAAATGACAAATTTGGCTAACTCATCCGGATTGTATTGACCTTCTTAATAAGCTTAAGAACATGGATTTGATTTAAAATCCAGAATTCATTTTTTTATTAGTGAGTTGAGATGGAAAAGAGGCTTTTGACTGTAAATAACTAGATTTCTGGCCACAAAGCTAAAACAGGTTTGAAGGATTGTTTGTGGTTCCATAATTGCTAGGTGGAACTTTGAATCATAAATTCTACAAATAAAAATGAAATAAATAAGTGACTTACACATGTGGTGGCATTTCATACATGTTCCTTGACCTGTAGTCCTCAATGTATTTTGTTCCATATATAGGAATACCCTTGTATGGGTTGATTGAAACCACCACATCTCCAATATAAGTCTAAAAATGATCAATCCATTTACATAAGTATTACTTTAGGCAAAATATACCCTGTTAGAAATTGACATTGATTAATTTTCAAACTTATGTTGTCGTAGGATAAGGATGATTGTGTTTATTCTTATAAATAAATTGTTGAGCAATACTTTTATAATAGACAAGGACTTTTGGATCAAAAAAGACACATTAAATATAAACTTTAGATAGAAGGTTTTAGAAAAAAATAAGATATCTGGTTATTCAGCTGCATTGTCAAATCCATTGCAAATACATAAGACATAAAATGACTTACATATATCTTATTTTCTTTAAATCGTATCTTTAGGTTCTCAACCAATGCATCTTCAGTAAGAGGATCTAAGAGAACCATGTCTGAAACACCAACTTGGTTGTCCATTTTAGTTTCAGCAGCTCAGTTTCAAAAGGCAGGCTAAAATAACAATTTGCAATGTGACATTGCCTATTGATATACAATAAAGAGTGGAGTGGGGCATAATGGGTCAAAATTTGGATAATTTCTTCTTGAAAAATAAAAAAGTTTTGCCTCATTGAATAAAGTATTTGTAATGTTAATGATGTAAAATGTTATTAAATAGGGACTTTGCATGGCCAATATGCAAAAGCGTGCAGGTGGAAAATTTAAGTGTGCTGGCAATATATTGTGGGTGCACTTAGTTCCCAATCTGGCAAATAATTTACTTTCTGTTAGTTCATTAAAGAAAAAAAGCTGGATTTTAAGTTCAGAATGTTTACAGTTAATGTATAGGTATTTGGAATTCCCTCAGTATGGAGCATAATGGGTCAGGCAATACTACTGCAATACTAAAGATAGATTTGGGGCTTGTGAAGTGTAAACAGCAAATCAACTTTTCTGAAAGTTAGTATAAAGGAAAAATTATAAAGCAGTAATACTGAAATAAGGTAAATTCTGTGTTAATCCTATCTATATTAACCACAAAAAATAAATTATATTTGAAGAGGGTTTCATATTGAAATATTCTTGTCTTTGATCTTGAGCATTATCTAACATTGACTTTCAATAGTTTGTTTGTTTTTTAATGTTTTCCCAGTATATTTATTAATATTTAAGCAATCAAATTACACACAGAAAAGACACTCTTAATTCTTTTAACTTTCCTTATAGATTCGAGATTTTAGACCAAATGTACAAGATAATATTGTAACAATTATACTTACCGATGTATAATCTGTAATATTGTCTTATCTTCTTGCAGTCTTGCAGTTTATTGTTTAACTTTTGTAATAAATTACATGCAGTGAAATTTACCATTTTACCAGTTCAAGAGCGAAAGAACAAAAGGGAGATTTAATGGTCTACTCATTTTTAGCTACTTTTCCGCTAATTTAAAAATTTATTGTCCAACCTATTGAATATTTAAAAGAGATTAATTAATACTGTCGACGCTTGGAGCAGAAATCCTACAAATTTAATAAATTTAAAAATGCTTAAACTACGTCAGTCTTTTGAAAAATTTCGTTCAATTTTTTGTCCTTGAAGCACCAACTATCCTACAGTCAAACAAGCCTAATAATGTGAAAGCCGAAGGTAATTAAATCGGGTGTTATGTCTTTTATCAAATTTAGCCAAAAAGTAACAACAAAACATTGTCGTTTCTATACTTAACAGAAGGATGTAATTCAAAACAAGTTATATCAAGCAATTCAATAATAAAAGCTTACATTCAATGCAAAATACACTACAGCCTACCTTCAACAACCGGCGACCGGAAATTCGCTCGAAACTGTTTACGTTCTGTCTGAGTGTGTTTTGAAACTTCTCTTCATTTCACTATCGCTAATGGGGATGCCTAATATATCATCTAGGTATTTGTATTCGTTGAATTTAAGAAAAATTTGGGTCCGCGGTCCCTTGAAAAGCCTTATTAAATTAAAACCTTTGAACTTTCGACCAAAATTAATATACACCCACCTTTCCGTATATGGTACTTCCTGGACACTCCTTAAAAGTAAATTTTTCCTTCGGTGTTTCAAAATCGAGTTTTAATTCAATGTTGGCAGCTTTGTCTTCATCGGTCTGTGACAAGGTAACGAGTAGATTGTAAAGTTTGATGTACTTAGCCAAAACACATACTTTGGACGAAAGAGACTCTTCAAGAATCATCCGGAAATGTCAGGCACATGATCAGTCGGATGTACATCAAATAAAATGATAATAAACAAAGCCGATTTCGCGCACATGCACTGATTTGAAAAACAGAGGTTGTAGCGGGTTGGCCATTTTCAAATGACAACGAGGCTTTAAACTGTCCTGTCGTTATGACAACGTGATCGTCATCCGGCGTTCGTTATTCGGATGGCGTCATTGAAACTTTCTGTGGATGCCCAAAGTTAGCTATAGATCAATTTGCATACAATTGAATGCAAGATAAAAGTCTTATAAAAAGACATGTATTCAAAATACTCAGCATCTATTCCATCTTGTAAGCAACACTTATAAACAGGGGCGGACTGGCTCCAATTTTAGGGCCCGGGCCGATTCGTCGAGAAAGGGCCCGAAAATTTTAAATAAGTTTCATGTATCCCAAAAGTTGTTTGTTGTATCACTTTTTTAAACTAGCTTAAAACGTTATTAGAATATTGCTATTAATTCTAATAAGTAACCACCAGAGATGTAGGCGTCAGTGTAAAAGATTCACAAGGGGGATCTACAATCCTTAGCCCAGGTCAGCATCATTTTCGCTGGAAATTTCGCTGTAATTCTGACGTAGGATAAGAGAGGAAAGAAAATCATGACATTGCGGGGAAAAACATATTGTTTTCTAGCTGGGCCTTTAAAACTTTTAAAGGGGGGCCTCAGAGATACAAAACGGCGAATGGCATTTAGAGGCTCTGGTACACAATGTAGAACTTAATAAAATATCTAAGTTATTCAAGAAATATCTCGGTTATTCAAGAAAATCTTGATATGTAATTTCCAGTCAAAACATAATAGAGATTGTTGTTTTGTAGATCATTGGTTGAGCAGCCAGGTTAATTAATTTGTTTAGCAGCCGCCAAGATGTGAACATCAGTACAGTAAATCCCCGCATATAAGAACCTACAAAAATAAGAACCTAGAGGCTGTTTTTCCTAATTTATGTACCTTGTAATTAAGAACCTGTTTCAGTGTGATACAATATGATAGGTTCTTATTCCAAGAGCAAAAAATAGAGTTTTCAATGGTCCTTATTTACTCCCAGATTTTAATAGATGAGGTAAAATCACAATCGGTATAAAAATTTTCAGTTGTGCATTTTAAGCATTTTATACACTTTAACGAAAGAGAACTTTAAAATTACTTTGACTTTTTAACATAATTATATATAGCAAAATCCAAAATGTTGAAAATAAAAAAATGCATTAGAATTCATAATTTTCAATTCCTGAGGACGTTTGAGATCATCTCCAGATCCATCCACTGTCATAGGCAGCCAGTGCGCTCAAATGTCTTCCTGTAAATATCTTAGTAATGTTGCATTAATAACATTGCCAAAGGGGAAAAACAGGAATGAATGCATCTCTTGATAATGAATCCTAAAATTTTGAATAAGGGATCCTTCCAATAAGAACCTTCATACCCTGAAATTAATCCAAGTACGTTCCCAATAAGAACCTACTTCAGCCTGAACCTCAAAAAAGGAGGTTCTTATATGCGGGGATTTACTGTAGCATAGGCAGGGATGGCGAAACGTTAATGAAGTAGGGGAGTGGGTAAAATGTTTAGATTGTTCAGGGCTTAAATGAAGGCCACCACCATGGTTAGGAATTCTGGCCGAATTCAAGAAAAATTTTCGAAATATGACATTACAGGGATGGCAAGAAAATGCATCTAGATTATTTGCCATATTAAGTTTGACGACTTCTAATGTTCCGACATCTAATGTGAGACAAACTTATTATTGACTATTGTAATTTTGTTGAATTGTAAGCACCATCTGCAGTATGGACCAGATGACTAAATGTCCCATATTTTTTTACATGTCCTATACAGGGCCGTCGCAGGGGGTGCGGCACCCCCCCCCCCCTCTAGAAAGTTCTTGTCGGCAAATTTTCTAAAAGTAGAGTTTTGTCGGATTTTGCTTTCAAAGTTCCCAAAGCAATAGCTTTAGCGAACAGTTGGGATAAGATGAGGATGTGAACTTAAAAGTATTGCCCAAAGGCCCTCAGCAAATCAAAACAGGAAAAGATAGCGCTATGAGTGTCACGGAGGGGCAAATGTCCCTCAAAAACTTCAAATGACTCCCTTTCAGCAGCCGGAGTCTAGAATCTAATGTCCAATGTCCGAGGCGACCTAATTTCTTTCTAAAGTTTGGGGTTTAGGGAAGGGTCAAAGTTTATTGAAAAACTCTGAACGTTGATCCTGGAGGTACTGGAAGCCACTGTAAGCAGGGAAAGGGGGCAAAGTGCCTCAGGGCCTTGAGGTGGAGGGGGCCTAAAGTAGTAATGAACTCCATTTTAAGAATGAAATCAATGAAACGTAGGTATGCCTAAAAATAGTTAAAAATTTTAAACGATTGCAAGAAATGACTGCAAGAAATATTCTGAAATTCATTTTAAGACAATCTAAAGGGCGTGGTCACAAAAATAGGGACCTCGTCTTTCGGTTTTGTTTCAAGGCTTTCGAAACCTAAGTACCCACAGTCACTCGAAAATTGAAGCGATGATTGATCAACGAGAACATTCTCTTTGATAAACAAAATCAATTGCGTCAAAATGCCACAACTACACATTGAAATATGTTAAGCCACGCCCTATTTTGTCGGCAAATTGGTGACTGGCACCCCCCTAATTGAAAGTGCTTAACGACGGCCCTGGTCCTATATAAAAAAAAAGTTTGACGAAAGGACGATCCTAGGCAATGCATGTAAGCTTTCATTTACAATAATTCCCCATTCCCTAATAGTTTCCAATTACCAAAAAGCCAATAAATCATTTTCAAGCTATATCTTTTAGCGACAAGCCCAGCATTTCCGAAATACATAACTTTGAACAAATTTGAATGCAATTATAAAATATCCTGTCTTGTCTATTGAAGACAGTAAATAAATGTTCTCAGTAAGAAACTTTCAAGAGTAACGAGTCTTCCTTTCTATGTTTAGATGCCAATTCATGTCTTCATTTCTATAAGCGTAAAGCTTGTAATGCATCTAAGTCTTCCAGTTGTATCTCGTTTCTTTTTCTTGTTTAGTTTACAATGGGGGACATCTAAAACTAATTCATTTTTGCAGGCCCGTAGACTGCTAAACTGGAATGGGGCATGGATAGAAATATAGCTTTTTCTATACCTGAGCTGAGGGGGTTGAGCCCTTCTGCTGTTTTGATCTATACTCTCAAATCTATTTGATTAGCATTAAAATAATGTACCTTCCTAGAAATTGAGCCACAAAAATTGTCATGTCCTTACCACCTTAACCTTTGATTAAATGAAAACATTGAAACTGCGGGCCTGAAGAGAAAATTTATCAGATTTTGCAACTTCCAGTTATGTATCGTATTATTGCCTTAGGTATAGTGAGCCCTGGTCCCAGGATTCTCTTTGCTTACATGGGGCCCCAAATTTTGGAAAATGCTTTTTCAATACTTAAATACCGCAAATTGATCTTTTTATTCATTCTGTATCCTCTAATCTTGAGAGAGTCTCGGTGTTATGGTAACAGAAGAGGGCTCCTACCAAACAATACGAGTTTTCATTTAATAGCAAAATTAAGAAAAAATTGTAATAATTTTGGGAGGGCCCACCGGGCGATCGCCTGGTAGCCCGACCGGCCAGTCCGCCTCTGCTTATAAATCTGGCTACAATACTTGCCTGAAATCCTAGAATCATAGACCCTTTTTGAAAAACCATTTTCAAGCAAAAGTCTCCCCAGGGGTCAATGCCTGAATTGTAAAGGAATCGAATAGGCCTGCATAAATACAAAGAAAAACTATATATGACATTGGACAGGAAGATTTTGAGCAATTCAGTCGATATTAATTTTTACCCTATGCAGTTAGGGAGCAAAGGTTTTAAGCTTGAAGTGCAGGAGAACGTGGCAAAGAGAGTTATTCCTTCCTAAATATCAAGATACTGTATTCAATACAATTTCTTTTTCCAAAGCCATTAAATACTTGAATTTACTTCCAGGATTTGTGAGAAAAGCATTTTCATAATTTATTATTGCTTTTTTCGATTTGGATTATTATACTGACAGTGAATGTTGTTGCTTAGGATCATTCCATTTCCCAGACGAGTCGCTTAAACAACTTGTTGACTGTCTCTTTTTTTGAGTCCATCTCTCCTCGAACTGTCTATGGAAGGGCAGTTATGCAAAAGATATGTTCAGTTCATGTTCACCATTTCGCTGCTATTTCCTTGCTATAGACTACCATTCTTTTGGTATTTCAGCAATAAACTTTCTACAACCAATTTTCTGGACAATATTAGAAGAGCAAAATCACTTTACAATACGTAAACACTATCGTGGCAATTCTATTTTCATGGGAATTATTGCTTGCCTCTAAATTATTTCTCAAATCCTTTTACAAAACACTATATACAGCCTATAGTGTCTGCTTACAAGTGTACGCTTCAAAAATTTAAATTAGAAGATTTTTAGGCCTTATAGAGTCAAGTTTACCCCTGTTTTTAAAACCTCGAGATTTTAGTGAAATAACGTTTTTTTATGTTAGAACATATTTACTCTTGAACCAGATTATTATTTTTAATCTGAATCTAAAAAAAATTAACGGCAGGTACAGAGGAGCATATTACGGATCGAAGGGCCTAAAAAGTCTTAAAAGCTCAACATGCTAAAAGCCAAAAAGCCAAGAGTAAAATGAATCTTTGCACAGTTTTAAGTACATGATAAGTGTGTATGCATATGATAAAGAGGCTTAGCCCCTCCAGCCCCCTCACTTCCGCGGACCCTGGAGCAAAGCATATCTTTCGAAACTGAATACAAGTCGTATAAAATCGGATAAACTGAGAATACAGGAATTAGACAAACATCAGCCACGGAAAACGAATGAATGTACATGTCCCTTGCAAAACAAAAGGCGGAATTTGCCTACAGAAAAATCATTGTGCCTATGAAAATTCTGGTCTTGTCTGTAAAATCTGGTTTGTACTGTTTTAACAGCATTTTTCTACTATTCTGCATAGATCAGGGATTTTAATGACGTTTTGAAAAAATGTGTAGCGTTCTGGGCCGTATGGCTATGAGAGAGGACCGAATTAATGTTTTTTTTTGCTATTTTGAGCTCGCTTTCTAAATACAAGAGTGTCTTTGCATCGTATACTTAATCGATATTTATGAATCACAATCACCGAAATATTCAGGGTCCACCACTGAGGAAACAAAAACATTTTTAGAACGAAAGGATTCGTTGATTTACATGTGGATTTAATTAATAATAAACCGATAACAAAACTCCGATTTTGAAAGAAACATTATGCATTTTGAAATGTTACTTCAGCCTGCGGCAGACACACCGAACCTGAAAATTCTACTACAGAGTCTGATTTCTGTGACCTGTAAGCTCTACAAAAAACTGGTTTCAAAGGTTATGTTAAAATGTTTAAAATCATTCTCCAAACATCACTATATGCTAACCACTCTAATAATTTCAAAAAATCTGATATACATTTCTTCCTTCACTTCTGTCATTCCGACCTCACACCCATTAGATTCCTTATTTTCTCATTCAAGAAAATTTTGACTCGATCCACGTTTTCAGAAGATTGTTCTTCACTTATTGAATGGTTTACTCATTGTATGTACATACTGAAGTATTTCGCAAAGACGTGCCCTGATACAGTGCACCGGTATTGGTGTACTAAGCTAGTTTCTCTTTCAAAAAATGAGCAAGTTTCTATTGGCAGCCAGTGAAGTTTCTAGTGCTAACAGAGCTCCTATAGGCGACAGGCCTCTACTGCATGTCAGGTACCTGAACGCACGGAGGAAGCACGGGTACAGAAAATGAAACGGACAACTTTATCCAAACAATATGAATTTATATTAGCTTCAACAGAAATATTCAGAAGCATCTTCAAATAAAATACAGAGCAAAAAGTATTGCGCTGCTTTAAAGCTAAAATGGCAGTCGTTCCCTTATTCATAATTCAAATAAAAATTTGAGAAACAATTTCTTCCTAACCAGCATAAAGTTTTCGGTAAAAAACCATAATAGAGTTTTTTAAGACCGGAAAATTGACAAGCATAATCTACATGTCAATATTTTCAACATTGTCAACATTGCCGTATTAATGTCAACATTCAACAGCAAAGTTATGCGATACTCTTGGGAGACGATTGTAGATATATTACATATCGATCTATTGCATGTATCATAACCAGACATATAATACATAACTACATAACAATTACAAGATGGACCGATTCTAAACGTGGACTTCGTTATCACTATAGAAAAACAGCAATTAATTAAAAGCTCGGTGGTCAATGATACATACAGCAATTTTCATTTTTTTCTCTTCAATACAAAATTAGCTAAATCGATTAAACAGTCTCGTTCTGGACAGGGTCGTAGTAGGTCTATCGAATTTATGGCCTCTTTTACATAATCTGCAGCCAAGTCCATAGTTTGCGAAATTCCATTACTCTGCAGTTAAAAAAATAAAATTTAAGTATTAAAAAAATACAGTTGCAACACACGAATTCGAATTTCTTAGAAAAATTCGAATAAATACATAAGAAATAAGGGAGTTAAAAGGAGAACAACATATCATGGTTTAAATGGCATTCAGTGAAAGACTGTAAACAAATATGTATTTACAATTGAATGTCCCGCACTTGAAATGTTTGAACTTTGTACAACATAAATCAATGAGTTAAATATACCTTGTTTACGTAGTAAAAGGCTTCTTGAACATCACCCTTTTCAGAAAATCGTCTTGATATCAATGGCTCTAGCTCGGGGAACTAAAAAGAAAGTTATGTCGATTTCAAAAAAATTAACGGCAATAACATGAAACTATGTCAAGAAATCCTTTCAATTTAACAGAAACTTTTGAAAAGATGAACAGATACCCACAAAACTCTTTACAAAAGACCTTGACCATAGGTTTTTCAATTTTGCGTGTGCTAATGTGACTCTTGAAAGAAACCATACAATTCATTACAGTACTAAGTTACCATCCAGATATAAACTTTTTCAAATTTAATTCCTTGATAATATCTGTTTGTGTTTTCCTTGTTGCCTATGCCTGCGGTGCGAGGGGTGGAAGATCTTCCAGAGGAACGAGTAAGCGCTGAGAGCGATCACTCCCCTCCTTCTCGACGCTCGCTTGCTCCTCCGGAGGGACGCCTATCCTTGCGATTCCAGGCATAGGTAGCAGAGATATTGCAAAAAGATAATTTTTAAGAAATGAGATTTGAACATGTCTTATCCGGATATATAAGAAACAATTTAAACTTAAAAAACCTCCATGTACGGATGTGGTAGCTCAAGTGAAGAAGCAACACATTTGTTTTGACGAAAGAATGAGATCACTTACACACTCTGCTGCGTAAAGAACGGGAGCAGTGGCTAAGCCCAGGCTTAGATCAGCTGTAACAGCCTTTCCGAGTTGGGTTGACGTGGATGTAAAATCAAGTGTGTCATCCACGAGCTACAAGTTTGAAAAGTGCGATTAGTGGTATTTTAAACCCTGGCTCTGTAGCTTAAAGGCTAGATGTGACATCATTCAACTAGAAGCATTATTGCGCTTAATATTTGAATTGCATGTTATCATCGTCGTCCATTGAATAAATGGCCATTCGATATTATGAAAAAAGATCGGCCAGCATATTGATTTTGCATTGATAATTCAAATTTCAATTTATTTGACAATAAATTGTCAATAACTTCAAGAGCTAGATAATATTATTGCACTCCTGACGATGACCATTAAAAACGTTTGCACAACAAGCAGCTTGAGATAAATACATTGCAAACTGTCTTTTTCCCCAACCTGCGGTTCAGTTGCTCTAAGCTAAACGCTTTAGATTTCTTAAGCAAATATTTACATCTGCTTGCTTTTAGTCCAGGGTAAAATGAACTAGGATAAAGTTGATTTTATCTAGAACGTAGTGCGATAAAAAGCAACCAGTGAGATTATTGTACCTGAAAGGCGATTCCGATATTTCTGCCAAATCTAAACAGAACATCTTGTACCTCCTCGTCTGCATCTCCCAACACCGCAGCCTGGAGACAAGATGAGACAATGTTTATAAACGCAAAAGTACTAGAATGCAGAACTTACTGATACACGACCTGCAACATCTAAACTAATAGCTTTAACTTCAAATAAAACCTAGACCAAAATACTTAAAGGCGTTATTTCTGTTTTCAAAATATTTATTTTTAATAGCTAGTCACCTCTTGATAGGTTTCGTTAGGTATCAATATATATTTCTTCAGACTTTGTCTAAGTATTGGGAAGAAGGGGTAGATAATAAGTACTAACAACAGAAACCACAGGTCTAAATCATGAGTAGGTCTTTTCAATCAGAATGACCAAATGTCTTTCAGTGACAGAGTGACCAAGAGTAGGATGTAGGATTATTGAAGTAAAATTCTTTGATTGTAGGAATAACTAAGTATAGGATAAACTGATGTAGGATTGCTAGGTGTTTGATTAACTAAAAATAGGATTAATTGGTACACGATTAACTTAATTTACAATTAACATACAGCCTTGCAGCTATTGGCGAGAAGACTTGCTGTTTTGAAGTACGTCTTTTCTAGATAATCACTGAATCGTTTTTTGGGGTCATCATCAATGAAAAGCTGCATAATTTCGCCTACGAAAAAAAGATGATTAAATTGATATTTCGACAATAAACATAATCTGCATTTAAATATTGTTTATTGCCTAAGGATAATTTAAGAAATTATACTGAACTAAGAGAATGATTTCCTACATAAAGATCTCGGTACGATCAAGCTGGCGGTAACATAGTGCGCTTATCCCTTTATCAATTGCTAGAAATTTCATGGCTTTCATTTTAGTAATTTTCTTCTACACTGTAACCTCATTAGTGTCACATAGATTGTAAAAGACAACTTTTGATTTATAAAAAAAACAGGTTGAGATCTTGGTTGCACAAAAAGAGAAAGAGGGGATTTCTATAGAAACGGGCTCCTCATTTTGAACCAAACCACCACAGACTGCATCGCAGCAATACCAGTTCGAATCTTGAAGAAATTGCTTTCTCATAGAAAAATTCATAGACATTAAGTTAAACATAGGAATAGCCAAGGACATCCTAACACATACAAACAAATCTCAAGAAACAATAATTGCGGACAGCATTTATTAGGCAAGATACATGCATTTAAAAAATTACCAAATCCAATACCATTTTTGACAATATTTGAAATAACTGGGGAAGAGATTTGTAATTTGAAGTAATTTTCATCAAGAAAACATTCCTCTTGGTACCAAGTTTAATGAAAACGAGCAGCCTTTCACTCAAAACACGTTTTGATAAATTGATTCCACTTATCAAAAAATAAAATAAAGTACATTGGTTGAAATTTCATTTTCACAAAAATCTTATATAAATTCCATACCTTTTACAAGGTCCTCGATTATTTCTGCGATCAGTTCAACAGCCCTACAATTTCCAAGTCGTGCTAAAGCAATAGAGGCCCTAGACAAAATGTAGTCTCCTGCCAGAATCGTTTGTTTGTCAGTAAATACCATGTTTATCGATTTCTTTCCACGTCTTGTTGTTGCCTCATCAATGACATCGTCGTGCAAAAGGCTGGCCGTATGAATCATTTCAGATATCATTGCAATTCGCTTTTGTCCATACATCAGATCACTGAAGAATGTTCATAAAAATGACTCAATATCAGTTCAATTGAATTATGTAAAGCCTTCCCATTACCCTTAAAAGACTAAACGTTTTATCAACTAAATTAAATAAATGTAACCTTGAAAAAAGGAAACTTTCTTTTTACAATCATAGATATACCTATACTGCTTTTCAAAAGTCTTGGTACACTAACGTCAGTTTCCAAGGACAAATTCAGTCATTCCTCTTCCCCCCTTTGAGCAATGTTGATTTACTTGAGGATAAGAAAGAATGCTTTTTTGCAAGTTCCAATTACTTTTTGCAATGATTGTATATATTTCTAAAGCAGTAAAAGAAAGATAATCTTACCTCTTCTTATTAATGTGAACATTGCAGAGCTTTGCAGCTAGAAATATGGTTGTTGGTCGAATGTACTTCCCTTGTCCATCAAAATAATAATTGCTACAACTTTCAAGGTTACCAATAGGTGTTCTGAGTTCCTGTGAAGAGTAAAAATCAATAATGCTACCTCCATCTGTAACAAAGAAATAGGAGGCATTTGGAAAATGTGAGGGCACAGTAGTTAAAGGACACTTTTTGCAACAAAGTTCAATGCACTAGCTAAAAATACACTTCAAAATATTTTTTCATGTTATTTTCTTGCAAACTTTTCACTTTTTTTAGATAAACTTTTGTTACGTTTGATCCATTCCGAATACGGAATTATAACTGAATGAGATCCTCTGTAACTGCAAAAGCTCTTGGCAATATGCTACTGCAAAGAAAATTTCTTTTTGAAAATTGGCTTCCAAAAATTCTTTATGAAATTTGGCTTCCAAAAATTTCTAGGCAGATGGATTATAAAATTTTAGCCAATGCAAAAGCTCAAGAGACTGATAGTTGAAGCAAATAGGGTAAAATAATTAACATTTTCTAAAAAAGAGTAAATTTGGTCACTTTAACAAAAAGCCTTTACAAATTCGATTTCATTCGACAATTTACTGCAATTCTTATGAGATAAATACAGCTTCCATATAAGTAGATTCTAAGTATAAGACTGTAAATACAAGATTCATATTAAACAAAAAAGACTTTCTAACATATATTTACATATAAGTGTGATTAACAATAAAAAAATGAAAATAAATATTTAATATGAGAATATTTTATCTGCTAGAAATTCATGTCTATATTAGAATGTCTAGTTTGAATTATTGCATATAAATATACCAGATTAACAAATAACACAGGCAGCTGTAATACATAAAAATATTACATAAAATTTTCTCAGTTATATTCTTGGCATATGCAAATAAAGATGAAAATTACATACCTGTCTTATATCGCTTAACATGTCTGAAATATCTTTTTTAACAGTGGAAAACAAATCTGTATCAGCAAGTGACTGGCCACAAATCTGTGTGGTGTAATTCCTGTGTCAAAAAATAAAATATAAAACTAGCAATGTGATAGATAGAAAAAAGTACTGAAATTATTTATAATTTGAAGCTATAGGAATGGCCTACAAAAGATTTTAAACAACTCCTACAGAAACAAGGCCCAATATTTTAAAGCTGGTTAAAGATAATTTCTAAAGAAAATGTTTGTTTTATGATTTACAAACGCTTGAATAATAAAGGGTATAAACTTGACTGCAGTAGTATAGATGTCCAGTCACTTTTAATAAACCAATGCATAAAATAACCATTCCATTATAATAACATGAAAGCTTGTATTTAAACATAATATTTTGGCAAAATCTTTTATGTTGGTATTTGTGAGCTAAGTTTGTAGCTTAAACAGTGCTCATTCTCTCCAAGACAAGTCATACCCTGTCATCCATTCTAAACAAATAAAGAAGGCCCTCAAGGAACTTCAAGAGCATGTAAAAATCACAGAGAATTGTTCTAAGAGAAACAATATTGGTAAGATAATTATTCAGTAGATTTATGGTTCTATGGGCACTAGGATACTTCAGTTTAACCTGCTTCTACTTTTGCAAGCTGTTTTAGAATTTTGGGGTGTCACAATTTGATTAGATTTAACCTTGATCTATCACAAAAAACCATACCCATGATCCTGATGATAAAAAGAAAACAGAATTTATGCATCATTTCTTCTTTTAAGTAAGGAAATTTTCGTAGTGAATGATTTTTGGGCTACTTCTTTAATAACTCTACCTATATGATAAACCCCCTATATGATGATATGGCAAGAAGGTGTATCAGCACTATTGATGTTAGAACTTTTCCTTGCAAATTTTTAAGCTTTGTGGTGCCAAACTTACAAAGTGTTAGTAAGTAAGTTATAGACACTTACAAAAGAAACTTTTTTATTATGATCCCAACATGTATTCGTAACAAATATGTCAAACAAAGAAAACATGTGCATTTGGTGTGTCCCTTGATGGATGTGATGGTGATAAGATCCCATGCATTGAATACGGCCTATGTAAAGACTTACTTGTGTGCCTTAAAATTCAGTCAAATTTTTTAAAAAGGCCTTTTTAAAACACATTTTACTTCAAATTTTTAAAAAGCCTCCCATCTCTAACAAGCCCTCTTTTTAAGCCCCCATCTAGGACTTAGAAAATAAATAAGTCCCCTGGGCTTTATAGAGCATAATGAAGAGCATAATTGGTAATCAAGAGTGACAAAATCTTACATTGACTTGATAACTATTGTAAAAGCTCTATTGAGCCCCCAGGGGGCTTATTTTTTTAGTCCTAGAGGGGGGCTTATAAGGGAGGGGGGAATTTTAGAGGGAGGGGGCTTTTCAAAAATTTGAAGAAAATTTTTTTAGAAAAATGTCCTTGTCTATTTTTTATTACAAAAATATCATACAAAAGTTCTCAGAAAACTTGACTAGCAGCTTCGAAAGTCTAATTAATCAATTATAGGGTCCTTATCTTCATCAGAATTACCAGAATCAATTGATAACCCTGGGACATCTTCTAAACAAATGTCAACTGACTTCTTAGATGCACAAGTAAGTCTTTACATGGGCCGTCTTAAATGCACATGATCTTATTATTAACACACCCATCAAGGGAACCACTAAATGTGCATACTTTCTTTGTTTGACAACAAAGGCTAAAGAAGGGGGGGGGTTAACTATCAATCATATGCACTTTCTTATTATTCTCCATTTATTTGACATAATTGGGCTCTAGCATAGTTGTGCAATCTAACATGGACAGTGGAAGTGCATACTTATACACTATAAATTTTGCTCTTGCACACCAAAGATCTTGTTGAAAGCTCCCATACTCTACAGTCAGGAACTGGTGCAATCTGTTATTACTGATATGTGGCATACAATTTTTTTGGTCCAGTATGGTATGTTAAGTAACACTTTTCCTTAGATGAAAGACCCAAGACTGTTATTTACCTTTGCTGTGTAGAATAACTGCTTGTCACCGATGATGATAAGCAAATTCCACGGTGTTGCTTCCCTTGTAGAAGGTCAAGATCTCTGCAAGAAACATCACTTTTGTGGTCGGTACACCGTAAATATGTGTAATTAAATTTTCGAGAACCAAATCTGTCGAACTTGCAAAGACCCTGCACGCATCCTTTTCTAACAATTTCTTCCTTTCTGTAAACTGTGACAAAACTCCGTCGACAAGACTTGCCATATAATCTCGAAAAAAGTGTTCTGAACTCTTTTCTTGTCCCTCGAAAAGCAAAATTCACTATCCAAGTTAGTTGGCTTGTCATAACTTTTGATTATACAGCAGCTGAATATGGCTGTGGAAAGATATCGCTGCTAAAACTTGGAAGACCCCTCCAAAGAGATATCCAGTACAGTTTATAGAGGCCTGCCTTCTTTTGCCAGTGACAGGGTGAAAACGTTTCTGTAAGACAATTACCAGTGTAATAACCACAAAAGCTCGCTTTGATTAGTAAATATCATCGCATTAATGATGCCCAGGTATATTGTCTTTGTAGACCAGCCAGACACTTACTTCGGTGCCATAATTACACAACTTCCAACCATCCACATGCTAGGCCAAATTATCCTGGAGGCTGCAGCCTCGTGTTCATGGAGAAATTTTGAAATTTTACGTAAAAAAGCCAATTCCCCATCAAAAAGCCAGATAAAAATCAGTGTGTTCCATTCATGTTCTAGACATGGTTTCCATTAAAAAAATAGTGTGCTCCATTTGTGTGACTAAATGAGGTTGCAAAAAGGGCTATGTGAAGCTTAGCTTAGTCATAAAATTAATGTATGAGAGAATTGACATTCGTTCCACAACCTCTTTACTAAAAATTGCCAAGCCTATCTAACACGAATATGATTTGTGTTTCATCTGACAAAACAGAAATCACCAACAGAATGATGCTAAAGGCCAATTTTTGGCACAGCCTTATTTGAACACGAAGTCTTCGTGACGAAGATTGAATCCTGTGACAATTCTTGGCAAACATAAAGATAAAAAATTAACAACGCTAACAGATGGAACCATAATACCATAAATTCTAATCAAATTGATTTAGCTTTTTTGTGTGAAGGAAAGGCCAGTAAACAATGAAATATTGTAATCTATGGTCAAATCTCTGGTCAAATCTCAAGAGCAAACACATTTCAAAGCCAAGCTAGTTCATGCTCACGTCGAATTATTGTTTTGTCGCATTGGATTGCATCTCACCTTATTTCTTCAAACCTTTCTAATTTCCGAACCAATAACATAAAAGAATTTGGGATCGAGAAAAGTATTCAGGGCCGTCACGGTAGCCTGGTGGTGTTAGACACAAATTTTCCTGAAGCACCATAATTTTGCCTAAAATTTCCTGATTATTCCTGATTTTATAGAAAATACTCAGTAGAGCAGAAAGGATTCATTTTTTAATTTCTATTTCAATATCTTTAATTCAATTGGATTAAACGACTTATAAACGATAAAACTTACAGACCGAGATTTGACAAAGTTAGTTAGGCATACCCAGTAGACAAAAATCAATTAAAACGTTTCGACTCTAGCTAGAGCCATTTTAAATTAAGTTATGAAAGTAGAAAAAATTTACTATGAGTATGGAAGGATTGAAAAATACAGCTCGTAAATCACTTGACTTTACAATTTCATAATTTTATTCCTGATTTTATAAGAAAATTGCAAGGATTTGTATCACGGATTTTTATTTAGTTAAAAAATTATTGTTTTCACACGCGCTTTCTTATATGAATAACAAAACAAACCCACCATTGAATTCAAAAGGAATGCTCTAATTGTAAATGGAAGTGAAAGCCTCAACAAGTACACAAACAACACGTTCACAAATATATCTGTAAAATTAAAGCAGCTATTACTAGCCTTTACAAAAACTGTCCCAAATCTTCTAAATCTATAAATCTTTAGACCAATTTAGAAAATCTTTTTTTTTACATTAAAAAAATTATCAAAATCATCCAGCTTTTCCAGTTCAATAAAATAGTTACAGCAATGAATTAAAAGTAAGCTCTTGCTTGCCTGTATTTTACTCACTTCCTAAAGCCCGCGAAGGTATCTATCTCGATAAATTCTCAATACTTATTAAGGATATAATTCGTGTTTTACGTACTTCCAATATACACACAGTCACAGAAACCAAAATCTCATAGAAGCAACAAACAAAAATATGGTGATATTTTTTACATGCAACGGTAAGTTTTATTGACCAATACAACAGACTACAACAAAAGACCTTTTTGCACAAAAATAATAATATTCATGACAAAAATTAAACAAAGCATTCTACATAACGGTATAGAAAGCAAGGTATGAAACATCTTAACAAAATATATCGATAAAATTTTCTTTAAGCTTTATAACATAATAGAATACACTACATGACTCATATCAAGATAAAATCATCGAACTATTACTTCATCTTGCCCATATATGTATGGAATCAAAAACCACATATTCACAACCTAGAATAAAAATCTTAAATTTATATAAGGCCCATTAGACTATAAATTTGCAGAGATAAGGATTTGCCGAATAAATATAAATTCTCAGACAAATCGCTGTAATTTGATCGAGGTTCTAGAACCTATGAACATGACCAAAACAACACTTATTCTCTAGAAAAATCTGTTTTTCCGTTATATCACTGGAAAGTTCAAACAGGTATAACTGAACTAGCACTTTAAGACGTTTTACCTTAAGTTCTTTCAGGTTATGTAGGGAAAGTTTAAAAATATATTTGTTAGTGCTTAACTACCTTTTTATAGCCCTATCCCATTTTTTTCAGTATTTTCACTACAATTTGAAAACTTCTTTTCGATTTTATGACTGTTTTGAAAGTGGTATTTGATACCTAGCTCAAGGCATTTGATACAACTTTTCAACAATTTCATTGTGTGTCCAACAAGTGAAGAACTGACAAGTATAAGAAAAGGGTATTTTATCAAGTAGATGACGTCTTCGCTACGATAAAAACATCGGAATTGGGGCTCCTTTTCTTCATCTATGCCAATAGCCTTCCATTCACAGTGAAAAAAAGAAATACAGCAATGTACTCTTACGATACTACAGTTTTCTTCTCCACAGTAAACAAGAGAAAAGTTCAAATTATTGTTATTGATGAACTCATTGCAATTGAGGAATGTCAATAGATTAATAGGCAATAGGCAATAGATTAATAGGCAATACAAATTGTTTGATCTAAACTACAAATAAGTAAAATATCAACTATCAACAGTGGAAATTATGCACATCAAGAGTCTTTTAAAAACATCTTCAAATATCTCATAGCTTTTCCTTGTGACTGTAGATTTTAATAATGTTATTCGGTTTTAATTAGTAAATTTTGTTTTTTTCTAGAAGTTATTTTCTAAAATTTTTTAAAGTTTTTTTTTAGGACTAAGTTTTTCCATATCCTGAATAAATATTTCAAAATGAATGAGACGAAAGATGATTCAAAATTCTGGTGATGCCGATGGTAGCAGCTGTTTGCCTTTATTCCCCCCCTACCGAAGAATCAAAATTTCCTGCAACTCGTTTATTGAAAAACGATGGACAACAGCAACCACATGAACAAATGCGTTTCTAAACATGGCGGGAAGAAGCGGCAACGAAGTTTCGGATGATGATTCTTCATCTGACGAGGAAGAGTCTGCACGGCTGAGAGAAGCTGTAGCTGACAGTTTTATCTTTGAAACAGGTAGGAACTTAAATTTATTCATAATGGCGTTGTCAATGGTCCAAAAATTGCAATTTTCTATACGCAATAATGGAATGGAGTCGACATATGACGACGGTGGAACTGGAATGGAATGGAGTTGTCAATGGTCACAGACGCGGCAAAAAGTTTCGAAAGATTTTGTAAAGGAAATTTTAGTATAAGACAGTTCATTTGGTAAGGAATCTCTGTCTCTTGGCATTTTTCTTGCAGTGTCAAAGCTCCAGCACAAGCAAGGAATTAATGTTTCAAGCTCTTTCTTTCCAACGTCCTTTATCACTACTGTTTCCAAGATACTTTGTAACCGGTCTCATGCTATGTTCAAGTTTGGTAGGTCAATTACAAAGTATCTTGAAAAAAAAGAATCAAGTATCTTGAGAAGTGGTGTCCTTGTAATTCATGTTTTTCAAAGTCTTTGCTAGAAGATCTGGAGATGATTGGTGCTGATCGCCAGTTACAAGCCTTTGGCAGCATGGGGAAATTTTGGTACCTGGATGACAGAAAATTGTGATATCTGGTGATTTGAAAACCCATTATTCTGAAATTTCAACAAAGTTTAAAATAAGTTTCTCAAGTTAAAGAGTCTCTAGGGAGAGTCAAGAATGAACCTAACTAGGTCTTGTTTTACAGCAGCCCAAGAAATTTTTGGCAAAAGATGACAATGTCTAAAGAAATCTTGGGAATCCAATTTTGGTCAATATATGCCAACTCAGAAATTGTTTGAGAACAGAAAGTATGCACCAAGCCACAAAATTCCCGAAACAACTCTTGATATGGAAGATTGATGAATCTTTCAGTTGATTTTTTTGATTCTGATGTTGTTAGAGGGCCTAAAGCACAAGTAACTGGTACGAAACAAGTAACTTCAATGTTATTTAGAAAACATATATACCGTAAATTATCTTTTAAGCCCCCTGGGGGCTTATTGTTTTTCAGCACTTTAAAGGGGAGCTTATGAGAGAGGAGTTTATTTACTGATATATACTAATGAATTAACATTATTGTTAATTCTAATGAATTTTGTGATTGCAACTTGAAACTTTTATTAATTCTACTACCAAATATGATTAATTTCCAGGTAAATTTTCATCAAAGACCACAGACAGCAGTAAAGACTTCAAATCAAAACCAAGTTTGAGGTGATATATCTATTAATACATTACAGTCAGGGTTTAAAGTATTTCATAGCCTCATACAAAAGTATCAGCACTGTTGTGATTTGTGGTATGAAATGATGGCCAAACAGTATATTTATATGTTTGGCACAAGTTACTTGTATTTTAGATCCTCAAACCAGGCCTGGCCATGAGCATTTTAGCAAGCAAGCGGTACATCATTCTCCTCAGTAAAGTCAGGCAGGCAATTTTCAGTCTCTCGAAAGTCATCAATAAAAGTATATGAATTAACAACAGTCTTTAACAGCTAATTTTACAAAACAAGATGGTGATTCTCCGACATGAATAAAAGGATAGTTTTGTATAGTCGCAAATCAACAAGTAACACTCTCGCTAACAAGATTTGAACAGAACCAAAATTAAATCACATAAGTGTGATTTTGTGATAACATTAGTACAAACTAGCATTCATTCGAAAACTATTTTGATGTTTAAGTACTTAAAAGTTAGTTATTTCCGAGTTTGTTGCCACAGGAACATGCACATTTTTTATTAAGCAAAACTAATAAATTCAACTAGTACTGGAAATTCTAAGATTAAAAAATTTTGAAAGCTGACAGTTTCGTACCAGTCCTTAAAAAGCAACTGCCTGCCTCAAACGGCCAAGTCTGCCCCAAACAACACTAGGATCAAAATATAGAATGAAACTGAAAGACAGAAAATTTTGTCAAGAGTAATCTCATCTAGTGAAAGATCCAAAAGCATTAAACATTCACTGTCATTGCCTTATCAATGTGAAAAATATACATCTATTAAGGTGTATGTCAAAGGTTTCTAGTTATGCATCTTTTAATTCTATGCTCTTGGCAATGAAATGAGGCTTTGTATACGTTCTTTAGTATACTATGTTTCAACTTTGCCATGCCACTATGTTTCAACTTTGCCATGTTGTGTACACTGTGTCTTTTGAGATACTCCAGATTCTTATGTTTAGGTAATCATTAATCGAATCAAGCAAGTGTATATTGTTTTGCCTTTCAGGAACAGTAGAGAATTGGATGATGGTACTGAGGAAAATGGCCTACAAGTGTCTCCGGAGGTCAAGATTTTTTTATCAAAGCGTCTATCAGAATTCCTAGATAGGTATGAGATATCCCCTTTTTCAGGTTGGCTGCTTTATTATTGGCCTTTTGCAGGACTTATCAAAAGCTTTCAATGCACATCTAAAGCACAGAAAGTGTCCTTGAAAGCCCTAATTGAAAGTTCTGATCAGTTGAATCTGATGCTGTGTCACTATTTAATCTTGAGGTAGCAAGGAAAATTTAGAGCTGATCAGTTTCTTTAAATCCCCAACCCACATTTGCTTTGTCAGCACCAGTGCAGTACACAAAAGTTTGTCTGCCTCTAGTTTATCATATTGATTGTTGTCAATGATTGTTGTCAATGTGATGCATCCAAAGTCTGTTTTTGTCAACAGAACGAGATATTCGCTTCTTTATTCAATCAAAATCATGTCTATAGTGAAATACGCTCATTTAATTTTCTTTAAGTCTCATAGGAACAGTGGAGAAGATCCCGAAAACATTTCTAAACAAAGAAGACAGTGGTACGTGTTAATAAATTTCTTTAAGAAAAGAAATGTTTAGCAATGATAATTATTATAGGACAAATTGGTTTTTTATTTGGACATTTTATCTTCAATGTTTTGGAGTTTAAATTAAACAGGTTTGATTTTTAATTGGTTTGTGTCGTTCTCCTTGTGCTGCGGATTTTCTCCTTTTGGCGTGGATCACTTTCTTTGCCATTTTAATAACAAAGCGTATTGTTTTAGGTATAAGACTTTTCAGAAAATCCCAGGTAATCTTGAATATGGCCAGTTTACAAGAGGCTAGTGAAAGTGAAAACTGGACACCAAAAAAGAAGCGACAATTCTCGTCAAGCAGGTTTGCATTTTGTTCTTGTTTTTTCTTACTGGGTGATAATAGAAAATATTAAGCAACATATTTTGATTTGCATGGAACAAGTATTTCAATATTTGAGTCCAGTGTTCATCCTTTCTCAGAGAACGAACAGCCAAAACAAGGATGGTTCTTCCCGTGTCACTCTTTTCCTGTTGTCTGACCTTCATCCGCAATTAAAAACTTAAAAACTTGCCAGAGACTTAATAGTTACAATATAAGCATTTATCAGCAGGGATAAGGCGTTAAGGTACAACACATGGAGTGCTTATTTTCTGAATCGAATAACTAAAGCTACTTGCTTGCAAACTGCCAATGTGCTTTATGTGTCCGTCTGTCAAGAGATCAATATGTATAAGCGATACACCTTAAAGCAGAAACTACAAATGCAGACTGAAGACAAATAATAGATCCACATAAAATAAGATAATCGAATCAGCTGTTTTTCTTGAACCATAAACAATATTATGGAAGTGTGGTGTGAAGTGAAAGCTGAAGTGT